TGTAGACAATGATTGTGATAACATGGGTGCACTACAATTATTCAAATTAGTATAGTTAGTGTAATCACAATATATGTAATTGCAAAAAATGTTTGTAGATGGTTTCCTAGAAGTAACAAAGTTTTAATAATTAAAGGATGGATACTGATTTTGTGCTTGATATACTGGTAGTATCATATTGTCTCTGGACGTGAATCGTCGTCAACATTCAACAAGAATGTATTTTTTGAATATTTTGTAAGTGCATTCTCATGTTCATCTGCAACTTGCTTCTTTTTACAATCTACTGCTCTTGATGTTGTAGTTACTCCAAGACTTGTATCAACCAAGTCTAAATAGAATGCAAGGTTGAACTTAAAAGGGTTGATTTTGTATTATTTAATAAAACAAGAAGAAGATAACACATTTGGTAAATTCATTTTCATTTAATATTTTTCATTGTACTTTCTTTTAGTGTGTTGACTAGTGTTCCATGTTGCAATCCAAGAAAGGAAACAAAATGGTTGTAAAGGTAGTTGCAATCATTTTTATATGACGCAAAGATGGTAGCAGCCAGTATCCTTAGTGTTGACATTTTTTTTGATTTAGACTTGAATATAGTCCAATATATCAAACATTTGGTTGACACCTTTGTAGACAATGATTGTGATAACATGGGTGCACTACAATTATTCAAATTAGTATAGTTAGTGTAATCACAATATATGTAATTGCAAAAAATGTTTGTGGATGGTTTCCTAGAAGTAACAAAGTTTTAGTAATTAAAGTATGGATACTGATTTTGTGCTTGATATAGTGGTAGTATCATATTTTCTCTGGACGTGAATCATCAACATTCAACAATAATGTATTTTTTGAATATTTTGTAAGTGCATTCTCATGTTCATCTGCAACTTGCTTCTTTTTACAATCTACTGCTCTTGATGTTGTAGTTACTCCAAGACTTGTATCAACCAAGTCTAAATAGAATGCAAGGTTGAACTTAAAAGGGTTGATTTTGTATTATTTAATAAAACAAGAAGAAGATAACACATGAACACCACCATTAATCTCTTCATATGATCCATTATTTGTTCATTATGTTCAAGGCTGGGTGACGAAATGTCCCCATTTTCATCACATGATGAAAATAAATGTGACGAAATAGGGTTTTACACTTTGAGTAATTTGATGAAAGTGACGAAATCAACAAAACAATAAAATAAACCAATTATTTTGGAGATTTTAAATTATGAAGTAAATAAAATTCATGATGTCAAATTCTAATTCACCAATTCACCAATTCACCAATTCCTTCTCAATCATCATCATATAATATGAATTTGCAAACATTAAAATTAGATGTACCTGAAAGTTCATTTATAATCAAGAATTAGCTATAGGACGTCCTGTGTTTGATGTATGGTCACACTCCATTAAAATAGTAATGAAGAAGAATCATTTCAACAATCAAAATTATCAGATGATTCTACGGATTTTGAAGAAAGTTATGAAACCAGCAATAGATGTGAAGCAGCAATTCCTACTGAAATTTTGTGTACAAAAATTAAGTATCCAACCAAGAAACATGATTTACAATGTAAAAAAAATGTTTAAATTAAATTTTTGTTTTAATAAAATTGAATTTTATATTTTCGTCATCTTTATCACAATTTGACTTTTGACTTTTACCCTTTGTCACTTTCATCACATTTCGTCACTTTCATCACATTTCAT